CAAAACTTTCATGACAATATTTCCCAGCTACTCAGAGTTTCAAGATGCTGTGAGCGCTTGCTTATCATGACTTGAGATTACATATTAAAAATAAAGTACATATGCGGCATAGATGTATATATTGAAACATGTGCCTCAGATGGAAACGGTAATTGTAAGGCATAGCATTTACTAGCGTTTGCTATGAGTCAAGCCAGTGTTATGCTGAGCACCCTTGCAGCAGGCTGCATTGTTCTAAAGCTGAAATCAGACAAGAAATGAGTGTCTATAGCCCCCATTAAAATCTAGATCTTTACCTCAACCAACATACTTACCAGAATGTAAATAAAGTAGGAATCTTACATTTCTGAAAACGCAAACAGGGAGAGCATTATGAAGTTGAACTTAACCAGCTAACTTTTTAACGTTAAGATTTGAGGACATATATTAATTTAAAGCTTAAACAAACAAAACCCTCTTCTTTCCTTTTCTGAAATCGCATTTGTTATCTTTATTCCTAAAAACATGCAAGTCAAAGAAACACGGTATCCTGTTTGCTCTCAAGCTGGTAGAATTTCACGCTTAGCTTTTGGAAATGTGCCCGAGGGAGTCTGTGAACACAAGTGTGAAACAATTATGTTATCACAGAACAATTACAAGAATTTCTTCTGGTACGTCATCCTGTACAATTCCCTTTTCCTCCTATTTTTTCCCAGCCTTCTGCAGGCCCCTTTGTGGCCATGCCCCCACCTCCACCCCTCCACCTCCCACTGGCTTTGCAAGGCCCACAATCCGTCCTGACTTTCTTATCAGGGAGACTCTGTTCCAGCAACAAACAGGCCTGAACCGATTTCGGAAGCTGGACTAAGGAGCTGAGAACACACACCTGCAGGATCTCAGGAGACTTAAGGAACCCCAGGCAACATCTGGCCCGTGCAGGGCATGTCTAGTGGTTGAGGGCTAGTGTCAGGAAGTTCTTGTGTGAAGATGGTAAATGGACGAGCAAACACTGCAATTGCTGTCTCTTAAACCCATAGCTGCCATCATTAGTTTATCAAGATCATCCTCAAGATGATTCGGGCAACCATTGTCACAAATGATATGCTAGGGGGGCTGGAGAGATGGCTCAGTGGTTAAGAGCATTGCCTGCTCTTCCAAAGGTCCTGAGTTCAATTCCCAGCAACCACATGGTGGCTCACAACCATCTGAAATGAGATCTGATGCCCACTTCTGACCTGCAGGCAGACACATAGACAGAATACTGTATACATAATAAATAAGTAAATAAATAAATATTAAGAAAACTGCTCTTTAAAAAAACTAAAACAAATGATTTGCTAGTTGAAATCTATTGACCTTCCTTGCTTGAGGAGGCTATTAAGGCTTAGAAAAATAGGCACCAAGTTTTCTCAATGGGGCTAAGATATTAAGCCTCCTAGGGACAGTCATTGAATGTCCTGTGGGCAGCAGGGGATGATCATGTGCCCTAGAGGGAGAAGTTGGCATGGTACTAGGTGGATCTAAGCCAAATAGGGAGACAGGAGTAAAAATCAAGGCACCTGGACAGCATGAAAATAGTCCTGGGATAAATGTAAGTGTCTGGATGTAGCATTTGTGCCCAGAACAAAAAGACAGGGACAGCAAAAACAATTTGAGGCTCCATCTGCTGGTGAGCTGCACCGTGCCAATATTGCTGCCGGCTAGGAGATGCTCAGTGTTCGAAGCTGTCCTGTGCTAGGACAGTGCCGGAGTGGCAGCAGGCTTTCCTTTCCTTCTCTCCCTTCGCTCTTCCGTCACCAGCCCTGTGGCTGTCACAGGTTTGGTTCTGTTGCAGTGATAAAAAATACCTTAGCGGACAAACAACTCTGGTAGAAAGGTGTTCTCTTAGCTCACAACTCCAAGATTGTGTTGTATCACAACAATGATACAAGTTACAGTGTATCATTTCGGATAGTTACAGTGGCAGGAGCTTGAAGCAGCTTGCCACGCCCACAGTCAAGAACCAAGAGAAAGGAATATATGAATGCTTGTGCTCAGCTAGCTTTCTGAGTTTTCTTTCATACAGCCCAGGGCCCCAAACCAGGGGGTGGAAGCACACACTTCTAGGCTGGGTACATCCCACCAAGTAAGGCAATCAAGACATTCACATGCTGATCTCGATAGTCCTTTACTGAGACTCCCTTCCCAGGTGACTCTTCATTCTGTCAACTGGATAATTCAAACTAACTGCCACCATGGCTAATATGAGATTCTATTTTTCCACCCTGGAATTTTCTTCTCCAATTCAATTTGTACAGTTGTAATGAATGTTTCTTAGGTAAATCAAATCTGGGGTTAGCAGAGAGTCTCAGCTCTCAAATTCTCTCTCTCTCTCTCTCTCTCTCTCTCTCTCTCTCTCTCTCTCCTTCAAACAGTACAGCAGCCATTGGTGCCATATTTCACAAATAGAATGAAAATTAACACAAGGCCTCAGAACCACGTGGTTCTTGGTCACCTTCCGAAAAGGAAGCCAAGATGCTGGTCCAAGGATCTATTGAGGGCAGCAGGAAGGGGAGTAACTTGCTCTGGGAACGGCTTGAAATCAAGACATGGGAGGAATACAGCCTTAGCAGGGCACAAGAGACCACAGGTCATCTGTGATTCCTGCCTGCATATTTCCCGGTCTCAAGGACCCGTTCATGACTCTCCAGATAGACCAGGCTCATTCTCCCATCTGATGTGGTGGGGAAGTAAGTGTGCCAGGAATGTTGACTTGGTGTGCAAAGAAGAGTAACTGAGTCATCCTTAAGTGACATTGTTAGAAGTTGTGTGAGTTCCAAGCCAAGGAGGTTTCCGAATTCACCTTGCTAGGGAGTCATTTCCCATCTGGCCCTGATTGTTAATTGCTCCTCAACAGGGAACCTCAAACTCCTGCCTGGAAACCAAAGTAGGCAGGGAGAACTGGTGTTTAGGATGTTGGTTCAGAGGGCTGGGCTTTGTTGCCCTCACGATAGGAAATGAGTGGCAGAACTCTCAGGGATTTCCCTGCCTCAGTTCCCATGCACAGGGTTTTCCCCAGGAAGGCGTCAGAGATTCCTAGTCTGACCATCTCAGTGCCCTAACCACTCCCTACTGTCCACTCCAGGACCTCACAGCAGGACCTTTAGTCTTTCCCAGGCAATCCAATCCACTTCCATTTAAATCCTTCTTCTCTGCCCTTAGAGCAGAGATTTGAAATCAGTTTTGCCCCCCTCCGTTAAGTGTTTGATTTTTTTTTTGCATTTGTTTTAAATTTGGGGAGGGTTTTATTGTTATTATTTTTAGGTTGTTTTGGGGTTTTGTGTGTGTGTGAGAGAGAGAGAGACAGGGTCTCACTGTGTAGCTCAGATTGGTCTGGACCTTGTGAGCCTCTAGGCTTAGCCTCTGTGCTGGGGTTATAGGCATCTACCACCACGATGAGGCTTGCTTCTTCCTTTCATTGAAATAATAGCATTTTCTCTTGACTGTCTATTTTCTTTTGTCTCACAAGGATGGTTGGTCATAATCTGTAGATTTGGCTCAGGACTGTGATACTAGAGAGGAAGTGGACAGGATCCGTGGCTGGAGGTCGAGGACTCTGCGCAGCATGGTCAGCATAGACCGTAGGAACTGATTATGTTTAGGGGCCTTGACTCCCTTTCTGGTGTCACTTTAGACTCCTAAACTAGCCACTGAGCAAAGGCACACATTGAGAAGGCACCGGCTGGTACAGTCCACAGTACGATCCACACGAAGAAAGTTCTTTTGCATCTACTACTCTATGCTGCCAATCAAAAAACCAGGTAGGAAGACACAGTGGTTTTCTGTGGGCCCTACACTGTCCCGAACTCTTTAAAGAGGTTCAGACTATGTGGTGCAAAATAAAATGTAAACAAACAGCAGAAATGAATGCAAGATTAAGCAGTTGAATCTCTGAGAGTAAAGACACTGGAAATGTCCTTCCTCTTACTCTTTAAACATCAGTCAACACGTAATCACCTACTGTTGCTGCCACATGCAGCCGTTGGCATCTTGTTCCCGCACTGATGAATGCCATCCAAACACAGACGGACAGTCCGAGAGGATGAACTGTTTAAACTACCCTCTTGACACAGAGACATGGTTTTTCATTTTAGTCCCAGGCCTGAGCTGTGCAAGTGACTGCCCACATTACCAAAGAGGTTATTTTTAGGTCTCGCATAGAAATAAGAAGCATTTAGCTAGGAGGCCGCTCAAGAGAACAATTCAAAACAAGCATTCTCCTGTGCTGTTCTGTAACCCAGATATAAGCCTGCTCCGATGCTCTGTCTAATGTTTCTGCTCCTTTTTCACCGAGATATTGTAGAGAAAAGAGTTGAACAGAAATGGAATATCTATTAGGAGATGATATTGGATCACTTCAAAGTTTCACATTTTTAGTTTTGTGATCATGGATCAGGAAACAAACACAATACAAAGAAAAAAAGGTAGATTAGTTCTTATAATATCTAAAAGGAAATGAAAAGTTTGATATTAAGTATGTAAAGAACTATGATTGTTTTTCAAAAGTATTTTTATTCCGTTATCTTTAAAAAATATACAAGAAGCCAGGTGTAGTGGCACACATGTTTAATCCTGGCACTCAGGAGACAGAGGCAGTTGGATCTCTGTGAGATCCAGGCCAGCCTGGTCTACAAAGGGGGTTCCGGGACAACCAGAGCTGTTACACAGAGACACTCTGTCTCAAAAACTCAAAACAAAAGGGAGGGGGCAAGGAAGGTATACGCAGATCATTTTAGAGTCACTAAAAACCTATAGAATTTAAAACCAAGTTGTGCACGTTTGTAATCCTAGGATTCAGGAGGCTGAAGTAAAAGGATAACTATGAATTTGAGGCCAGCTTAGGCTATGGAGTAAAATTGTCTCAGGATACCAAAGAAAGAAAAAAAGAAAGAAAAAGAAAGAAAAAGAAAAGAAAAGAAAAGAAAAGAAAAGAGAGAAATGAAGTTAAAATAAATAAACTGCAAAATATAATGGCATCCTACCTTAAAGTAGCTTCAATGGGGAGCTCAAAAGACTGTATCTCAGCCAGGACATTCTCATAGGTTTGCTCTGTCTCTTCTTCTAACATGATCCCGCAGGCCCCCAACTTCCCAGCTGCAGCAGCCATTCGATTTTATATGAGGATGATTGTATTCGATACAACAAATGATGTTTTCTCTCCAATCGTAAGTCTTCTCTGGTCATCAAAAAAAAAAGCGACAAAAAGCAAGCTCTCTGTCTGTCCCCATGCTATCAATGTCCTTGCTTCCAAGAATGCTGCACAGCTGTTACTGTCTCGTCTCTACTTACAACATTTTACTTATTATTAACCTTGACACAGTTCAGAAAGCTCCTGCCTACTGCCGGCTCTCTTCACTGTCTTAGTTCTCACAGACAGCCACTCTGAGATGGAATCAGATCATTATATCCACTTGATTTACTGTGGCCTCTGTTTTAATATTACTTATGCTGATAGTTTTATTTGCAATACAATAATATTTATGTTAACATATATTCATAAAAACTCTGCCCTTGCTGATGAACCCCAGGAGGCAGCTTGTCTAGGAAGAAGGTGATATCCCAGGAAATGTGATTTTGGGGTCTCTGGGATAGTTCCTGGTCCTTCCCTGTTCTACTCCCTGCATGCTAATTGTCTCCCTTCTAGCAGTATTGCCTCTTTGCCCCCACGTTCCAGGGCAGATGCTTCTAGAGGTGCCTAAATCTTAATCCTGCTCCTACGCTTACTCCCCACTGCGGGTGAGTGGGCCGGATCCTCTCTGCAGAATTAGTTTCAATAAGGAGAATAAAGAATGTGAAGATGCCAAGATTTTTAGGAGACTGGTTGCCACAGAGAGGGAGAAAGAGAGCCGGGACGAGATATTTAAAAATACCCAGGGACATCGTAACCAACGTAGATCTGAAGGACTACACAGACCTTTGTACTTGGTCTTCACCAACTCCAGGTTTCACCTCCGACTTGTAGGAGGTGGGCATTTAAAGAGCTGGAGAGTGGACATTTTTCCATATGAAGCTATTAGTTTTAAATTTTGTCATATTTTCATTGCTCTGAAAAATTGAAGTTCTTTCTCATAAAAAAAATAAGCATAATAGTTGTCCTGGTTAGTTTTATGTCAATTCGACACAGGCTAGAGTCATTTGGGGAGAGAGAACCTCAATTGAGAAAATGCCTCCACAAGATTGTCCTGGATGCCCACTGAGCATTTTCTTGATTAATGATTAATGTGGGAGGACCTAGCACACAGTGGGCAGTACCAACATTAGGCAGGGGGTCCTGGTTGTGTAAGGAAGCAGGCTGAGCAAGCCATGGGAGCAAGCCAGTAAGCAGCACCCCTCCATGGCCTCTTCTTCAGTTTCTACCTCCAGGTTCCATCCTTGGGCTCTGGCCCGGACTTTCCTCAGTGATGGAGTGTGGTCTGAGTGTAAACAGAAATAACACCTCCATAGTTGCTCTTGTTCATGGTGCCTCGTCACAGCAATAGAAACCCTAACTAATGGAAACCTAGTGCGATGGAAACTTCCGGAGACCTATGAGGGTGACCCTAGCGAGGTCTCCTAGTAATGGAGGATATGGAGCATGAGCCAGCCTTCTTCTGTAACCAGGTTAGGCTCCCAGTGGTGGGACTGGGACTTCAACCCAACCACAAAACCTTCAACCTACAACCTGTCCTGCCTGCAAGATGTGTTGGGGCAATGGTGGCTCAGACCTTGTGAGAGCAGACACCTAGTGACGGGTCTAACTTGAGACCCATGCTACACTAGGGAGCCCATGCCGGACACTGCCTGGATGGCCTAAAGACCTAGGGTAGAACCAAACACAAGTGGAAAAAAATTTCAGTGAAGTGACACCAGATGATATTCTACTACACTCATAGTTGGTGTCTAGCCCAATCGTCATCAGAGAGGCTTCTTCTGGCAGCTGATGGGGGGCAGATGCAGAGACCCACGGCCAAATATTAAGTGGATCTCAGAGAACCCCACAGGAGAGGGAGAGGAAAGATTGTAGAAACTGGAGGAGCTGAGGACATAAGGAGAAATCAGCTAAGGAGAGTTCCTAGGGCCTCACAGAGACTGAACCAGCAATCACTGAACCTGCTCGGGTCTGCACTAGGTCCTCTGCATATGTTATAGTTGCTAGCTTGGAGTTTTTTGTGAGATTCCTAATAGTGGGAATGGGGGAGTCTCTGACTCTTTTGCCTGCTCTTTGAACCCTTTTCCTCCTACTGGGCTGTCTCATCCAACTTTGCTATGGAGACTTGTGCCAAGCCCTATTGCATCTTGTTGTGCCATGTTCAGATGCTATCCCTAGCTGCTCTTTTCTGAGGGGAAATGGAAGAGCAGCAGATCTGGGGGAGAGGGGAGGTAGTGGTGGGGATCGGGAGGAGTAGAGAGAGGGGAAACTCCAATCGGGATGCATTGTATGAGAGAAGAATACAATTTTAAAAAAAAAACCCTAATTAAAACAAAAACCAACACATGCTATAATCATGAAGCATTTACCATAGATTGTAGCGAGTTGTCGCTCCTCCTCATGCACACCAGTGTCAGGATCTCACTGCAGGCACTCTTTCTACTCCTGGACAATTGGTGACTTCTGCCAGCCAACGACATATGAGCTAGAATGACAGAAACGCTGAGTCCTGAGTTTAGGTTTTACGAGGCCTCACCTATTTTGTTATTTATGTGTATGGGTTTTTCACCAGCAAGTTTATCTGTGCAGTACGTGCATGATCAGACCCATGGAAGCCAGGAGAGAGCATTGGATCCCCTGGAACTGGAGTAAGAAATGGTTGTGAGCCACCTTGAAGGCTCTGGGAACGGAACTTGAGACTTTTGGAAGAATAGCAAGTGCTGTTAACCGCTGAGCCACCTCTCCAGCCCACTCTGTAAAGCGAAGGTTTGCTCAGCCTTTTACTTTCCTCCACTCTGCGGAAGACACAAGCAGTGACTTCCTGTTTCCACTAGCTCAGTTGGCATCTTCCTTTTATCTAGAACTTTCTTTGAGTTCACTTCCTGCTAGTGCATGCCCATGTACACACACACACACACACACACACACACACACACACTCAAACAATAGGAGAGGCTCTCCTCCCACAAGTCAGTCAGAAAAACATTCTCCGAGGTGGGTGATGCACTGATGTCAATTTCACCAAATAAGGAAAGGAAAGAGAGAAAATAGAAAGTTCTCAGCAGCCATATTCCAAGACATCCATGGAAAAGACGTGTGTGGTCTGAGGACTATGACAGAGCTTAACTGTTCATTGCATTTTCTTTTCTTTCTTTCTTTCTTTCTTTCTTTCTTTCTTTCTTTCTTTCTTTCTTTCTTTCTTCCTTTCTGTCTGTCTGTCTGTCTGTCTGTCTTTCTGTCTGTCTTTCTTATTTCTTTCGTTTTGGTTTTTGAAGACAGGGATTCTCTTTGTAGCTCTGGCCATCCTGGACCAGGCTGGCCTCCCCAACGCTGGGATTAAGGCATATGCCATCAACACTTGCAATTTCTTTTTCATTCTTTTTTTTTTTAAGAATTTTCAAAGGTTTATTTGTTTATATATTTTATGTATATGAATGCTTTGCCTGTCTGAACACCTACCTGCACACCAGAGAGGGCACTGGATCCCATTATAGATGGCTGTAAGCCACCACGTGGTTGCTGGGAACTGAACTCAGGACCTTTCAAAGAGCAGTCCCTGTTCTTAACCACTGAACCATCTATCCAGCCGCATCATTTATAGATATTTCTAAAAATTTTAATTTTTATTGAGAATAGATTCTTTCTGCACAACGTATTGTGATCCTGAGTTCCCCTTCCCCAACCCTTTCAGATCCTCCCCCACCTCCCCACCCACCCAAACACCCAACTCTACATACCCTTTCTCTCATTAGAAAACAAACAGGGAAGCAAACAAACAAAAGCAAAAACAAGAAAAATAAACTAGGAAAAAACACAATGGGGGGAGGGAGAGAGAGAGCAAGAGAACCAAAAAAGAAGAAGAAATGAGAAGAAAAACATACTAGCAGATGCACACTTAGAAATCCCCTAAAAACACAAAATTAAAACCAAAATGTATAAACAAAAGATCTATATGGTAAAAAAGGAAAAAAGTCCAGACAAAGCATCATGAGACAAAACCCCTGCAAAAACACCGCCGGGCCTTTGTGTGCTGGTCACCTCTCGCTGGACACGGGACCTGCCCTTAAGCATAGTTTGTATACTCAGTGAGACTCTGTCTCCACCTTCGATCTCTCCTCCTAGCCACAGACCAGACTCGCCACTTCCTAGGATGAAACCTGGTACTTGAGGGAAGCTGAAGCGGTCCTATGATCAGGGCATGAGGCTCTTGACCCGTGTTTGTTCCTGGGACTGCTTTGGTTTTTTTCTTTCTTCTCTGAAATTAAGCTTCTTTCCTGTTACTCAGCTAGAACCTCTCCTCGACCCTCTGGAAGGATCTAAAAATTAACTTTAAAAAAAAAATTCTTTGAAGGAAATCCCATTGGCCCTTGGTTCCCATCAGTTCTAGACTCCAGTGCTGCCATGGTTCCATGGGCACAGGTGCTGCACCTAGAGTTTATAGCCTTTAGGAAACATCTAGGGACTTGTGACAAAGTGAGGGTGTCCCAGAAAGAAGAGGGCGTCCCCAAAGGTGGCCCAGCTTTAGCAAACATCACCTGGCAGCTCTACTTGGCCTTATGGAATCTGAGCTTCGTTCTGTGTAATTCTGATCTTCACATGTTTTTATGGATCCATTAAAAAAATAGAAACAGCTACTTTACAAGTCTATGCAAAAGCCTGGTGATGGCATTTGCTGAAGAAACACCAAACATTAGATTCTTTGTTCACGGAAACAATAATCCCTAGTTTTATTCCAAACTGTCCCGGCACAACATGGCAAGGCAGTAAATGACGTGGAATTGTAAGAAAAAGCGACATTGAGAGAACCATATACAAATGGCAAAAAAATAGAGGCACAAATAATGAATGAAAACAGGAAAAGTTTCAGGTAAATTTCAAATATATGGTTGGGTATTGGTGATAATTAAGAAATGAAATACAAAATCAATACCATATGCAATGGGATATGATATACTACTTGGCTAAGATTGGGATATACTTCGGATCATTACGGCAAGCACTAACAGAGGCCTAAGACATTAAGACATGACAAGGTCCCTTCAGAAGGACCCAGTGATAGTTTTAAAATTTTAAACACAGCTGTCCAGAGGGCCTATTAAGGGAGAAAAAGTCAAGAAAATCTAGAACAAGCTACAAATGAGACCCTATCTAATAAAATAATAGACTGGGAGTGTAGCTCTCTTGGTGGATGGGTCTAGCATGTGCTTGGTGGATGGGTCTAGCATGT